TTTCCAGCCTACAATAGTTCCTGTACCTTTAACCGGAACATATGTTCAGGAGTCGGTGACAGTAAGATGAGATGTAGCTACGTGAGTGAACAAAGTGGCTATTTCTGTCGATGTGATTTCGGCCACTTCTACAACACCACTGTGAGATTGTGTGAACTGGGTATGTATACATGTACAGTGCGGGGAAGAATATAAAGTACACGGTATTATCCGTATGTTATCCCGAACAACATACGATAGTTTGATATAATGTGGGTGCAGTATTCTGATTTCCATGTACCGTATATATATATATATATATATATATATATATATATATATATATATATATAATCACAGTATGCCCCGCATATTGCTGACCCTGAGTGAAACTGGAAATAGACGTTCTCAACAGCTGCTGATCGAGGCGCTGCAAAGTAGCAATGACAATGTACTTAAAGGGATAACAACTCTTCGTATAACATTTATGTTTCTAAATAAACACCTTATAAACACCTCATAGAGATGTAATATTCTATTTTACCACAAAAACGACAGTTATAACAATTATTCTAAAATATGTGCTTGTCATTGGATCACGTGACCTCCATTGATAAATAAATGAAAAAACGCTTAAAAAACAGGGACTAAATTTGAATCTAGAAATGGATTCGTTGATCTTTGGTGAGTGTGGGAAAATTGCCGTTTACCCCAGGAAAATTCATTTTTGGTCCAAAATGAACACTTGTTATCCTTTTCAGTGTCAGACCAGCTGATACTCTACCGCTGCTTCAACCACTAAGTGCTGAGTGCCAAGCGAGGTGATATAAGGTACCGTTTAAGAAGTACCTACACGTCCCCTCGTATCCTGGGTAGTCTTTACCAACCCTAACCTTACCAACAATGATCGCTATGCGCCCTTTTCTTTCGTATTTCAGCCATCGGTTCCAGTTGCACATCCACTGAGCAGTGCCTGCGGCGTGAAGGTTTTTATAAAATGTCCTATTCGGTATCTTGTCAGGACACGGATCTTGACGGCCGAAATGACACGTGCCTTTGTGACGAAGGTCACTTCTGGAACCTACGGGATAGTAGATGTGAGCTTTATAGCGGTAAGTGGAAACTGTGTATCAATTCTAATGTTTCTTTAGGTTCCCAGGGTCACAGCATACTCCAAAACTGAAAAAAAAAAAAAAAAACGAAATCATATCACAGATTCTTCTTCATATGTGTAAAGTGTTTAATAACGCACTTCGTTTGCCCTCAGACTTTATCCTATCGTGAAATATAATAGCAATATTGGTTTATTACATGTATTACTTTACAATTTCATGTCAATTCAATCAGGTTCTGCATGCCGCGATGGTTTTATCAACGTGGTACCTGCATTAGCCGCTAGGCGAAAGAGGCAGTCTGGCGCGGCTGTATCTTCTGGTTACGTTTGCGTCATGATTCAAGCCAACCCCATGTCATGGACCGAGGCAGTGGAAGGTTGTCGCTCCCACTACAGCAATATGTTAGCATTGTCCGACGCTGCGTGGTCACATGATCCATATTACTCTTACACACTTTCTTCGTTGATTCAGACTTTACGTGCTAGTAAGTTACCTTAATGTACATTCATCATGTCATTATACAGGTATTTAAAGCGCACTCAAGAGATCGTGATAGTACCGATTACGGGTATTCTAAACGTGAACCTCCTAGAAATCATTCGTCAACCAGTGCCTGGTTTATTTGTATCATTTCTACTCCCATAATGTGTTCCCAACGAATCATAATTCATTAAGATCTACAAGAATGTGTTACTGACATTATGGTGATAAATATCTTCATCAGATATTTTTTCAATGTGTTACTGACATTATGGTGATAAATATCTTCATCAGATATTTTTTCAATTTAGGGACTTAAAGGTCTGATTTGGGGAGATAAGCAGTTTTGAAGGATATGTAGACATAGGAATATGACTTTTTCAAAATATATTTTTTCAAACGTTTCCAGTGCAAAATACTATCTGAAAAAAATCAGAGCTTAAATTTGATACCCATCTTTTGACTATCAATCCACATGTGACTTTTTATCGGACTTTTTATCGGACATTGAAAAAAGGAGCATTGTAAGTGATGATGATTGTAAGGTAATTAAATTGCAAATAAGCTGGTTAATTTGGGTAAACTCTGGATAAACGTTTTGATAATACAGTTTACTACTGCTACGAGCCTACGTTCACGCTTGTAACTTGGCGGTGTGTTGGTGCTATATAATTAAGGGTTATGGGATTTCATACCTTTGTTCATTGTATTGTTATGAACTCTTAATTTTAAATCTTTCATTCAGAGTTTATATATATATCCACGAAAACGAGTGGCTATACATCGGCTGCAGACGTCAAAGTAAATAATTATTTCATTTGGTTTGTCATTTTCAGATATGGTTTCACGATATTGGACAAGCATGTTGTTGAGCCAAGACAGCCAAACACTGATCTGGGAAGGTGCATATCCCCACCCTGTTAACTACAGGTAATACTCACGGAGCCTTGACTTTGGCCCGTATTTATCTTAACTTTTTTGATCAACATTTAGGCTAATTTGACAGAGGATAAATCAGTTGTGGTAGTAATTATAAAATAAGAGGGCCATTGCTTCTTTTTTACAAACAACAAAGGTATGGCTAATGCTGTCAACGTTTCAGGCCATTACATACATTATTTAAAAATATTAAATATTTTACGAATGGAGTACAATGGCTCATTTTGAACTTCAGTAAACCAATTTTTGGGTCTAAAACTTGAGATCTTTTTTTGGCTAATGCCCTGTTTCGGAGACGTTTTGGGGAGATTCATATAATTATATTTGGCAGCATGTTAAAAAATGACTAATTATAAATCCAATTTTGACAGTTTGACGTTTGTCATTTACATTTAGCACGGGTTGCTTTTTGGTACTCATATTTCAATTTTTTCTTTGCATAATTGATAAGATAAGAAAATGATAGTTCTTTAAAAACCGTTTCCCTTTAATTTCAACCATAGGGTGGACCATCAACCCGGAATCTATTTGAGGAGAACAAAGCAACGTTTTAATCTTGCAACAAATGGAACGTTTACATTCCTTTGATTGATAAAGCATAGCATGTAGTGGAGAATAAAAGTCACTTTACACTCCACAACAGTAATTGTATTTTAATCTTTGAATCAAAATGTTCTACCCTAACAATATTTGGTGTGTGTTTCCCAGCAATACCATACTATATATATATATATATATATATATATATATATATATATATATATATATATATATATATATATATATATATATATATATATATCCTTTTTTTCTATTATTTGAAAAGTGAACATGACATGTGGCAGTGGTCGGACAATCAGCCTCTCCCGCTCCATGGTAACTGCGTTGCTGCGAGAGAAAATTCTGAAATATCCATATACGGTCGTGTAAACCTCACCACCGAGCCATGTGACAGCAGACTGCCCTCTGTTTGTACCCACACCCCCATCAGACCGGAACTGAGCACAGGTGAGCATTATCTAGGGCAGCTCCGGGGGTGAGGTGGGGTGGGGTGGGGTGGAAGTGGGAGGGGAGGAGGGGGAGTGGTCAAGGTGCCCTCGCTGGTATTCCAAGTACACTTTTACCCCCTCTCTCCGATCTAAATAATCTCTGACCGAGGAATGAGATAAAGCCAATTACTTTCTATTTGTTGAGCAAGGAGAGGCAATCTTAATTATCGTTGTGGATGGCCTATAGATACTTATCGTTCTGCAATCAGATAAGCCGCGCTCTAGGAAGTGTTTACTTTTGACTGATTGAGTGATGTTGTCTTGATTATTTGTGGCGTAACATTAAACAATGACATCCATACGTTTCGTTTTGTTGACATCAAAGTGAATCATCAACTGGAATACATATTTTTGACAACATGTAGAAGGCACAATTATGTTGATATCTGTTTAACAGTATAATATTGCATAAAACACAACTTGCTTAAATCGCTCTTTGCGACGTAATTTCTTTTAGTTTTGAAATGCCCGGATGGTTGGCGAGGATCACCTGAACTTGAAAAATGTTTGAAATTTGTGAAACGGCCGGGATCTTACGAAAGTGCTGAGTCTTACTGTTTTTCGGAGGGAGGCAGACTGTTTTCTCCAACCTCGTCCTTTAGCAGAGCATTTGCTATCCGTGGATTTGTTTTTATGGAAGGTGAGGACTTGAATGGGTTATATGAAGATTGTGGTCCAGGAAAAGTTAACCAGAATAAGTTGTTTTTGTAGTTTCCTTTTTTATTCTTTTTCATTTTTGAAACTAGTTAGGATCTTTAATTTATATATTATTTTCTTTTTATAATAATAATAATAATAATAATAATAATAATAATAATAATAATTTTTGTAAAAAGCCAATCCTTATCAGATAGTTGCTTTGTGAAAAAAAGCGCAGGAAGCAAGTAAACATTTTTTATTGAAGGGACAGCTTATCAATCGTTTTTTAATTTTCACGTGGCAAATATTGTTATTTTCCAGTGGAATACGCCAGGTTGGGTGTCACGTGTCGTGTGGAGACATCATTATGCAAATTAGCAGACGGACGTGTTGTCCAATTGGATCAATTACGGTCTCTGATTGGAGGGTCCACCCTGCCCGATCAGTCTGGATCCACTGGAGAGGGATCTGGCGCCAATCCCATATTGAATACTCTCATGCAAGAAGAAACGTGCTTGGCTTTCGACCAGAATTGGGTTACTGGTCGGATTTTGTATGCATCTACACACTGCGACGAGCCTTTGCCGTATATATGTGAGTTAGATGTGGCCGTTTCTGGTACGTACGAAGTACATTTTGAATGAATTTTAAATTATGTGAAGTACAATAGATATATTGTAGAATAGAGTCTAACATATATTCCATGTATGGTAATACATCAGGAAAAACATTAATTACAAATCGACAAAGGACTTCGGAGCTCAATGAGAAAGTTAAAAATTATGTTTTAGATAACATTTTGACGGATACTGTAATATTTGTAATTAATGAGCGCGTTATATAAAGCATGGCTTCATCTTGGGACATTTGTGACATATCGTATTTTTAGAATCAGCTGTGGAAATCTCAGACCCAGTTGTTGACAAATTGACTGAAACGCTCATCTACTCAGTTTCAAACTACGACCCAAACACCTTCGTGACGTTTGTGAAAGACGGTGTAGAAAATCTTCACCGCACTCTGGTTCCGGTGAGTTCGACGGTTACCTACCCCTTACGGGTACCGCCAACGCAATCTAGAGGCGAAAGGCAAGGGTACTACTCTATTGAGGTTTGGGGAAGGAAGCCATACAGACGGTATAGCTCACAAAGATACCTGCTGAAGTATTCTGGTTAGTAACATTTGTGATCTGTGTCAAGGTTTTTTAAAACGTATTCTGGAGAAACACAAAGTAAAATGTTTCTTTAATGTAACCATGATAGGCTATGAGCTGTCGGGCGAAAAACACGAACTTGGTTACACACGATGTACGCGGAATATATATAAGCCTTGAGTGAATGTTTTGAGATAGTCAGAAGAGTTAGAATCAGAACTACAGAATGTATTACTCTGATACTGTAACTTGGTAACTGACCGGTATTGCGATCTCAGCCTGGGGGAACTTCCGCTTGCTCGTTCACCTGATCTGTTGTCATACCTTTGTCTTATATACATATGTATGTGTGTTTGAGAGAGAGAGAATAAAGAATAATGATAATGAAAGAAATAAAGAACAAAAGAGTGAAAAAGGAGTGCAGCAAAAAAAAAAA